TGGCAGCCTAGGATAGAGGTGTCCATACACCTGACGCTGCATAATCATTTTCGTCATATTAACTATTTCTCCTTTTTTCATTTCTTTTACATTTATTTTTTCTTTTGTTAGTTCTTTATACATCTCCTGTCGAGGCTCATATAAAGGGTTTAAACCCCTAATAAACTGCTCCCAAGGAGACAGTACCCACGCACCGGGGGGCCCCCCATACTCTATTTCTTGGGGGCCCCCATAGTCGGGTACTGAACCCTCACTTGAATCCAACGGGGGCCCCTGGGGGGGCCCCCCAGTAGGGGCCCCCTGGGGGGCCCCCTGGGGGGCCCCCAAGGGGGCCCCCTGGGGGGCCACCTGTGGGGCCCCCATGGGGTCCTTGGGGGCCCCTGAGAGGTCCTTGGGGGCCCCTGGGGGGCCCCCAGCTGCATCAGAGGGAGATGCAGATGAATAGAGACAAAGAGAGAATCTATTATATTCTTTAAGGGGGGCCCCCAGAAAAAGAGGGTACTGGGGGGCCCTTACACAGACAACGCAGAGACGAGAGGGGAGCATTGGAGCTGCTGCTGCTGCTGCTGCTGTTGATACTGCTGCAGTTTGCTGCTGTTGTAGTTGCTGCTGCTGCAGTTGCTGTTACTGTTGCAGGTGCTGCTGCTGCTGCTGCTGCTGCTGCTGGCGTTGCACTTGCTGCTGCTGGGGTTGATGCTGCTGGTGTTGTTGTTGTTTTTGCTGCTGCGGCAGCAGCAGCAGCAACAGCTGTAATCTAAATGTCTACCGCTTGCTGCTGTTGGCAACTGCACTGCTGCTGCTACTGCTGCTGCTGCTGCTGCTGCTGCTGCTGCTGCTGAGTGAAGTGAGCAGCAGCTGCAGCAAACCCCAACCACCCAATCAGTTGTTTTTCTTTTCCTTTTTATATATTCACAAAAACACAAATAAAATATTTTTAAATAAATAAAGATACGATCAAACGAACGCAAACGCCTTGTTGGGGGCCCCCCGTCAGGGGGGCCCCCCCTTGGGGGCCCCCCGTGCTGGGGGCCCCACTGGGGGGAGGGCCCCCCAGGGGCCCCCAAGGGGCCCCCCAGTTGTAGTATTATATCTATTGCTCAGGGTTTAGTTAATCTATGTAGGATTAAACTGCTTAAGAGAAGAAAGCAGAGGCGCTCCTTCTCTGCGTATATATATATATATATATATATATATATGTATATATATATATATGTATATATATA